AAGATTGTAAATGATGTTGATCGGGAAATTTTTTTTGAATGTTGATTATGGGTGATATTTGTATGAGTGATAAACATCGTCAAGAAGGAATTAAAAGGAAAAGAGAAATTTTAATGATTTAGAAGAATTGAAAATCAATAGATTTTTTACATTTAGACAAAACTGGTAAAACCTTCTCCTAAGGTAAAAAAATTTTTTGTGAATCAAGGAGAAAAAAGATTTAAATTATTTAATTATTATTTATTATATATCACTATTATTAAATATAATTACATTATGATGATTATAATAATTAATTATATTACATAACCCACCACAACAATCATCCCGTCACAGAATTAAAAATTAAAAATTAAAATAAATAAATTTTTACATCAAGACTAAAAAAAAATTAATTGATTGATAGATTATTCTTAAAAAAAAAAAAAAAAAAAGTGTGAAAATTGTTATTAATAAATATTTTTTTTTCCGATTTTTTTTGTTATTTGATTTTTAATAATAATATTATTAGTTATTGTTACTATTGTAATTATTTTACGGTAAGATATTAATTATTATATTATTAGATTTTTTTTTAAAAAAACAAACTTATCATAATCTTAATTAATCATATAATGGAGTTCTCCAAATTAAAAAAAAAAAATATAAAAAATCATCACCATTGTCAAAAAAATTGTTTAACATTTGCCATCACGCCATTACCACAGCCAACGAGTCACCACCATTTCATAGTTTCATATCATTGTTGCTCAACTAACTAGGTCATCTAGCCTATCGATTGACTAACTGGCCATCACTGAGTATTAATAAATTGACATCAGCATCACCACCGTTATACTAAAACTAAATAAGATAAATAAAAAAAAAGAAATTCTTAGATGCAATCATCAAATTTTGTAATTGCTGCTGCATCAAACTTAAAAAGAAAATTGCATGTTTATAAATGTGATTTTTTTTGTTTTTGGTTTTTGTATTTAATTCTTAGTTAAGTGTAATATTTATTGATATTAATTATTATAATTATGTAATTATTATTGCTATCTCGCACACATTGATGAAAAGGTTATGGAAGTTATATAATTAGAAGATAAAGTAATGTGAGAGAGTGAGAGTGAGAAAGTTGCGAAATAGATATATTTATTGCAGTCCGTAAATGCCAATTAAATAGTTATAAATTTCTGGATTATCGATTTCGTGGCCATGATGTTGTATAAAATCGGTTATAATATAAGATTGATCGTGTTGATAAGTTATCGCTGGAGGAGCACAGTTGTTGGTTGCGTGTGGCGGATGAATTGTGTAGGGCATATAGGCAGAAGGAATACTTCGTAAATATGAAGGAATTGAGGTGTCATTGTAACGTTGAGCATATACAACGCTAACTTGATTTGCTAAATCTTCGTACATTTCTTTTTCTTCAGGAGATGCACTTCTCCAAAGCATGCCAGTCACTTTGCTAATCACACGCATGTTGCACATTCCCTGTTGCTTCGCTTGGTGATGGACATTTTTTCGACAAAGTAGAAAACCGTTTGGTGGTCTTGTTGGTTTGTTGGTACGATTACATGGTACTGATAATAGATCTTCGGGATTGTTTAGATGTGGTGGAAAGATTCTTCCTCTATCCAATCTGCTGATCATAGTATCAGCTAAATAATCTAATGAAAAATTTGGTGTGGCAGTCATCATATGTGTATTTCTGTTATTAAGATTGAATAGGTTAAGAATTAGATGATTATAAACGTGTTTCGTTATTATGCGTTGAAAAAAATTCGTAAAAAATTATTATTTTTTTATTTTATTAATAGAAAATTATTTTGATTTTTTTAATTAAATTATTAAACAGAGAGAACGCATAAAATGCTGTGATTATTATTATTAATATTATTTCTCGCCACAGAAGAAATTTGGATCGAAAATTTTGCAAAGATTGTTTTATTTGTATTTATAGGCTTTTTGATAAAATTTTTATATTAATTAAATTAAAAAAAAAACCCTTTTAAATAATAAATCAATATATTATTTTTTTACTCCCCGAATCCACAACAAATAATTGACATGAATATGATTTACAATTTATTAATGAACGATTTAAATTTACGTTTCAAGTATGAGACGATGAACCGGAGAATTATACCAAAACTGACTAATACTTCTTATCGTTGGTCATCAATAATCACCAATTCATCCACAAAATTATTTATACTTGTTTATCGATGATAAAACTTTAACAATTGAACTTAGGTTACAATAAACATAATTTCAAGAAATTTATAATCTATAAATTTATTTATAGAGAAAGCTATGGGATATTTTAACAATGAAAACAATGGTCAGAAGGTCAATAATCGAACTTTCAAAAAAAAAAAAAAATTTTTTTTTTAATCATTTGAAGATTCACGTATTAATTATGATCACCATTTGCGGTTACATAATATATCAGAAATAAAGAAACAATAAAACAATCCCTGATTGCAAATTTATTAAGGTGTTGGATGAGATATTTCTACTAAAGCGAAGATCGTGGGGATTTTAAAGCGGAGATGGACGATGATATGAATTATGGTGATGGTGGATTATGGTGATGATGTAATGAATTATTATGGTGATAATGAATATAAAAGGGGGCTTGTTAATTTGCATCAACACAATAAACCATTTTAACCACTTTTTTCATCTTAAACTCCTCAAAACACGAAATTTTATTTTTAATTAATTAACAAAATGCAATTGTGAATGCTAATTCTGGTAAGATCATCGTAATGTTTTAAAATGATTAGTAATATAATAATAATAATAATAATAATAATAATAACAGTAATAATAATAATAAATTAACAAAAATTCGGACATTGTTCATTTATTTTTTTTTATTTTAAAAAGAATGCATTCACTTACGGGGTTAAGTCCGTATAGGTGATTGGTTCTTTCATTGTGTTCAATGGTTTAGCCGAGCCTAAACGCGATTTAGGGAGTAAAAAAAATAGATAATTAATTGACATTTCCCAAAATTGCAATCCTTTCGAACTTCAAAAAATTTTTGGAAATAACAAGCATTGAACTTTTAATTTTTCTTTCGATTTGTTCTCTTATTAATGATATACTCGAGAAATTTTTAAAAGTTATAAATGAATTAATTTAAAATTTAACTTGCAACGTCGTCAAAACGAACCGAGCAAACAAACGTTCATATACGCATGTACCGACGAACAGTCAATCAAATATACATGACTGAGTTTTAATGTCCCGGACCGGTAGATCATTAAATAATAATATTTTTTTTTTTTTGGCGTGTAACATTCATTTCAAAAGCCATTTTTAAAATTCAAAATTCAAAATCCAAACATTTTAAATTTTACATTGTTCTTCAGGTGATAAAGAAGTATGAATCTTATATATCACATTTCGTTGTCATGAATATAATTTTTAATTTTCATATACAAACGATCGAATTCATTATCATGATGATTATTATGATAATTTTGCCGAGTGAAATTAAATAGTAAAAGATAGTTTTGAGAGTAAAGTATAAATATACATTCATGGAAATTGTTATTACGATTTAGTATAAATAAATCAGAAGAAATTGGATTAACATTGTTGGCATATCATCATAAATAAAATCTAGAGATTTGTGTGAGACATGGATTTTGATCTCACAGTATTCAAAAAAAAAAAAAATTTATTATTAAAAAATCAATAATAAATAATAAAAATATTGCACAATAAATTATTGGCTGGATTAAATGTAACACAAACCCCGCACTCAATTTCCAACACACCACATATTAAACATATACAAACTGACCCGTCATCTGACTTTAACTCAATTGGTGGCCACCAAAATCGATTGTCCAACAATATTAACAATATATTCTAATCCGCTATCCTCTATTTTATATACTGTCAAAGTAATTCGGTAAAAGGTGAAGTAATTCGGAAGTTAGATGAGAGAAGTATTTTCCAAACATTCAAAATAAATAAATATTGAATTCTTTTTTGTTATAACAACTCAATCATAAAAAAAATTTTTAGTACGTTTATAAACAATAACTCTTAAACTTTGAAAAAATATTTATAGTTCTACAATATGAAGAAACAATCACAACATGTTTGGATCTACTTGACCAAAGAATGGTAGGAATATTATTATTATGTCTCATCATATTAATGCAAGTGTGTTGAATAAATGTGCAATATAAAGAAACGATCATAACATTCTTGGATCTAATAGACTGAAGAAAGGTGTGAATATTATTATTATGTTTCATCATAGTTAATGTGTAACAATAGCAAGTGTGTTTGAATGAATAGGTATCTTATTAACGATGTAATATTTGAAATTTTTCATTATGCAAAAAGGATTAATAGTATTATAATTAGATGATACATTGAGTAATGACAAGGCGCAAGTTCAATGCAAGCTATTAAAATTCTATAAATATTTTTTTTTACGAATAAAATATTCAATTCAACGTGGGATATATTTTATTTCTCAAGTTTGATATAGAGATATTATATATTTGTGTTGCTTCAACTATAGGCGCATTTATTACACACATTTTTGTTATTATGATGGCGATAGAAGTTTACAATCTAGTGTTTGCTAATTTGTGCATATAAAAATATTGTCAATGGAGTCATTTGATTGTCTTGAAAAAAGATGGTTATTGTTCTTGTATACAACATTAAAAAATTTAATAATAATAATAATAATGATCGGCGTAATAATAAATTCATCCAATCACAGAGAAAGCCTTCTATGTTGATGTACACTCACCTACCATAAGTATCCGACCACCAAAGTCGTGTAACGTCAAATGAAAAGAGTCCTTACTAAAAAAAGTAACATTTTCTTAAAACCGTTTTTACTTTACTAAGTAGACTTGTACTTGATATCAAAATCTCTAAATTACAAAGGTTCGGTATTGTACCAATGGAAACATTTAGCAAATAGTCCAAAAAAGCAAATTTTCAATCAGAATCTTTACATATAATAAAGGTCAAATTTCTTCATTGTAATGTATATTATTTATTAATAAAATGTCTCAACGTAACAGATTACATATATCCACAATATGGTGTTGGCATAAATTAGTTCGTAAAAAGGGTTTAAAAAAGTATCTGACCACCCATAATTTATTATATAAAACACTTAATAAAGTTGACAAAATGTAAATTTTAAGGCTTTACATTTTGTTGTCTATACTTGATCAAATTTTTTCAAATTTTAACCATATATAATTCAAGATATTTTAAGTGGACTTACTTAGTGACGTAATCCATGATTTAACGGAATTTTGAAGGTTTTTACTAATACTAAGCTCAAAGTTTTCATAAAAATCACGGAATTTTTTGTCTAATTTAAAATTTTTATCCTAAATTCATTAATAATGCAAACTCGACGAGACTTTAAGTTTATATGCAAATTAACTTTTAAAAACATGTTTACTTAATGCACCAGTCCCGGTTTGCATAAGGCGTAACTATACTTGTCGTCGGAATTCCCAAACATAAATAATACGGTTACGGCATGTGCCATATTATTTGCCATAAATAACGTAATAGTAAACCGTAAAACCGTAATACCGTAAAACCGTAATACCGTAAATACCGCAAATATCGTAATAGTAAATACCAGAAAATAAAAGACATGTGTAATAGTAATGGCATCATGTCTATATATTAATATGCAACATGGTTTATTTATTATATATCATTATTTTTACAACAATTAAAAATTCAAATTTCTCCCAAAAAAAATTACTCTAGCAATTCTTCAGAAAAAATTGCATCAAAATTAACATTATGAGATGAATTTATCTTCTGTATTTTATTAGAACTTGAAAATTGTTCCATCAGTATTTGCATGTATTCAAGTTTCACATTAGTTGACACTGCAGAACAATGTAAAACTAGATGCCCTTTCAAAATTTCAGGTTTCCCTCTAGACCAAGCTTCTGCGCAATAATGACATTTGGCAGAGAAGTGGCCATCTCCAATTGTTTCTTTAAAAAAATGCTCCCAAACAATTGATTCTTTACGACCTCTTTTTGACCATTGCTTTGATGATTACTTGACATGCCCGACCTGACAGAACTCATAGAACTCATTTTTTCCTTTTAATAATTGAAAAATATTTTGTTAAGAAACTTATCACTTCTATAATATAACTATTTCTATAAATATTTATTATCACTCACTCACTGTTGTTTAAAACCTACATTAGTATGTTCATGTTATGTTTAATTGAATTAATAAAAAAGACGTTTAATATTATTAAAGGTTCATGGAAAATTTTTCTATGTTGTTATTAGGTGTTACAGTATTACTATGGTATTAGGATTTACAGGATTTACAGGATTTACGGCATTTACGGCATTTACGGCATTTACGGCATTTACGGCATTTACGGAATTTACGGAATTTACTATTACTATTACGGAATTTCGGAATTTACTATTACGGAATTTACTATTACGGCATTTACAGCATTACGGTTTTACGGTTTACGACTTTTATGACTTTGAGGTCTCATGCCGAAAATCATTTACGGCTTATACGTAATGCCGAATTTGCCGTAATTATGGAATTCTGACGACAAGTATAATGCAGACTAAAGCAAATTCAGCAACAGCAGTTGTGCCAAAGTGTTCCCTACAAAGTCGCTTATAACCACTTGGAAGGTTGTGTTAGAAAAATTTTGCTTATAATTATAAGGGACTGATTTATAGTTATTTATAAGGTTATCAATTTATTTAGAATTTTAAAATTACATGGTATTTTGATGTTGAATTTTACAAATAATTTATATTTTCTAAAAATAAATAATTAATAATAAATAAAATATGATTGCGTAACGGATTGTACACTGTCAGATCGTCAGATCGTTCAACCTTTGCAACCTTTGGAAAAAGAAATAAATATTTTAATAATAGCAGTAACATTAGTGCTTGTAATCTTGAAATAATTGTCATCTTCTGGTCAATTGATATGATTTTAACTTAAAATTTTACATATATGTTATATTAATATATAAATGTATAAATAAAACCATCAATAATAAAATTTTCTTTTCCTTTAACCTATATATGTTACATATTAATAACATCTTCATCAGAGCCTGCTAATGCATTAATAAATAAATACCTTTTAATTTAATCATTACACTTCTAAATATATATAAAAAATAATAGAAA